CCCCATCCCTCTATGATGGAGAGAGAAAGTCACCAGAGGCTTATTTCCTAGGTAGATCCTACAGATGTATCTTGGGCTCCAACTGTCATCCATAGCCTTCTGCAAACCAGATTCTCACCATTTAGGCTCTAATACTATTCTCTCCTTCAACTTTGGATTATATGATATTTTAAAAGATGTATCACAGGTTCCCAAGTTTTCAAGTTTAATAACACTCTGACTATCATAAGCAAACATGTATTTTATTGTCTTTCTCTCTCTCTCACATAAGAGACCAGTGACATACAAAAGCGAGAAGCATTTAAATTATACTTCCTTGAGTAGGTTATGCTTTTTTTGTTGTTTATCTTCATTTTATATAGAAGACTTATTCTAATTCACTAATGTCAGATGGGCACTTTAGCTATAACCACAGTAATAAAGATTGAAAGAACACATTTCAGCTACATACACACTGCTATCAATAAATACGCTCTCAAATAACACAATGAAAATCAAAAGAAACAGAGTCATATATACCCACTCTATTCAGTTGGTTAATGAGGGAAAGTCATGATTCTCGGAGTCCTTCATGGTGACTACTCCCCACTTCGGCTAGTCCTAATAAAAACAACCCAACCTTCGCCAACACTCACCATCAGCACATCTAGCAACCTCTGTCTAACAGTCCTGGGACTATCTGGTAAGTTTCCTTTGCCTTACTCTTAAATTGAAGCTGATCTAAAGGGAACGTTTGCCCCCGAAGCAGCTTTTATCTAGATGACAAAACATTAATAGGACAATGAGCTAGATTCAAGATTGTTGACTCATCAACTTTGAGATCTTAATTCCCATATAGATCCCATCTTTCTTTCCAATATCAGAACGTATGCGTTTTCATCTTTGCGTGTTTCTTATGAAGGAGAAAGACCCCTATTATTTCCAACTAATCTGCAAAGTCAATACAGCAGCCACGTCCTCTCATGGTTTTATTTCCTGCCATTATTCCCTAAAGGAAATACAGAACTATTAGAGGTTGGGTAGTCAAAGTTACTTATTTTTCACACCTCTAATTGTCTCTTTACAAGTGATCCTATAAATACCGCTTTTCCAAAGCAGCTATCATCACCATTGGCAAAGTAGTGCAGGTGGCAAAGGTAATTTCCAAATACCTCAACTATGAAACAGATTTTTGACAAGAATGGAGCTGCTGGTGAAAATTGAATTTAAATAAGCATATTCAGTAGTAATAGACTTCTAGCTATTTGGTGGTTACTAGATTTTACTTTTAAGTTTAAAAGATCTACTTATGGAAACATATTCTCACACATTGCTTTGTGGTTTGTTTACATGTATATGATGGTGGACAGTAAGACCTGAAAAAATTAGAAACTATGTAAGTCAGAAAGTCATCAGGGAAGGAAGACCCAACTATTTCTCACTAGCCCCGAGTGGGCAACACGCATCCGTCAGATCACCTCTTTTCAAAGGCAAAAATGAATGTGCGATCCAGAAAAGCAAGGCCACCTGGTGTATTCCGGCTTTTGCAGGTTTCCCTCTCCCAAGTGTCTGTGCAGACACCTACATGCACCTGCCTCGGACCCCAGCCCTCCGAACTAGTCAAGACCAGTTCTGTCTAATTGCATCCTTAGACTTCTGTGAGATATTCACAGGAGATAGCAATACTACGTACTTAGTGTCAATGACCAATAATTTCAAGCCATCTGGAAGGAAAATTTATCCTGTCGTCCTTTAAGGAAATGATTGTATCAGATTTTAGGCTAATATGAATAAGAATTTTTCTATTGATGTGTAGCTGAGCGAGCAGGCCAGACCTTTTTATTTATTGATAACACAATCAAAGCAATAATTACAGTAACACATAATTATAATAACCGAAATATAAATTTTTAATATTATTGTCCAATAACTGTCAGGCTTTAAGTCCTGTCAAATTATTTCATTTTGCTCCTGATTTACAGATATGCAGAGCTATAGATCTCTCTCTATA